TTGCCTGCGGGTAAAGGAAGTAATTCAATAGATTGGTCCACACTCTGAGTAAACTACGCAAATTACCTCGCCTGTTTCGCCAGCTCCGTAGCCCGGGCCCGCGCCTTCGACACCCGCATGGCCCAGTAGCGTTTCCAACCTTCCGGCTCCTTCCTTGGAGGCTTCCTTGGAGGCCCGAGGAAGTTGAGCCGGGAGGTTAGCTTGTTTGCTTCTTTCCTTTCCTTTAATTTCCTTCTCCGCATTTCCTTCTAGCATTTCCTTCTCCGCAGAAGCGGAGAAGGAAATGTATGATATTAATGCTGTTTTTTTTTTAAAGAATACTTCAACGACAGTTGAAATATACCCGTCGTGTTCAGAAATAGGCTGAATATGATCCACAATACTCGTAAATGACAATTGCACATTTGTATTTTGAGCTTGATGGCTGTATTTTTCGTTATAAACAGCCCACACTGACAAGCGCTCGGAGAGCAGCCAGCTGAAAGCACGTCACATCCAGTGCAATTGTGATGTAGTTTATCTCGGGATAAGCAAAGCTGCGGCGAGGAAGACGTCAGGATGCCCTAGCGCCGGGCTCAGCTCAGTTGCGCCGCGTACCAGAGAGGCCACATCAGCCCGTTTCTTGAGCAGTCATGAGCGCCGGTAATTTGAACTAGGCGCTCATCCGCGTCCCGCATGTTGTTCTAACCTTTTATGCGAGTTTACTCCATCTAATATTTTCTGGAACCGCTACAAAATCATTTGTTCATTTCAATAGAACACGTGTATTTTTTTAGTTTGACAAGTTTCTTTAAAAAAGAGCCGATGTGAAGGTCGCCGCCGCAAGGGATTGGCTGCCATCGCTTGACTAAAAGCAGAAAATGCCTTTCCGGTTGCCGGAGAAACGGACGCTTGCGTAGGAACTAGGTTCCAGATAGGTAACGCCGGGAAAGCGTAGGTACGGCAGGGGGACAGCGTAGCTACTTCCGCTCTTCGGTGGTTGGCTCTTGACGCCTCTCAAGTGAGTGACAGACGTCAATCTTGCCATGTCGTCACGGCGTCAAAGAGGGCGGTTTCGCGGTGCGCGCCGTTGCTTGGTTACGCTCCTCCTGCCGGTACGTCACTTCTGTTTCTAGTTTCTCGAAAGTCCAACATAGGTCCCCTGGACCGAGTACACAGCCTATTTGTGAACGAAGCAAAACAGCCTCGCATAGCACCATTCGCGCACAATTAGTAATACTGGTAAAAGCAAGCGATCTAGACAATAACAAGCATTTTGAACGGAAAAAAGAATAATCTAGCCCTAACGGGCAAAGAAAGGAACTTACTTTGAAACGACCGTGCCATGATCTTGGCTGTTGAGCAGATTCGACGTAGTTCCACGGCTCACAGTCGCTTCCTTCTTTTTCGGACACATTTGAAACTAAGTTAAACTCCACGCATCACGACTAATCGGTAAATTGACCTCAAGACAGAGACGTGAAACTCATACGGCCATCACGTCCAGCAAAACAAGGCTGCCGATTGGATTGGATCGCGTTCGTTGGCTATTATGTTTGTCTAACGACTTTACGGAATCTATGTGCGCGTTTTCTTCAACACGCTTGCAATAAAACGATCAGCAAAGCGCATTAAAAAACTATTAAAAGACACAGTAATAATAAATCATTGAGTATGCAAAAATTGCCACAATATTAGAAATACGTCCTGAACACGTAACAAAAAATTACATACGAAACTAACCGTACAATGTATTCAAACGAACTCAGCAGACATATAAACTACTAAAAACAACACGTTTCCGATTTGGCGATTTGGTCTTGGTGGTTAACGCGCGATGCGGGTGATCGTATGGTCGGTGGTTCGAATCCCGGAAGCGCGAAGTTTTTTATTGTTTTTTTTACTACGTTTTTTATTTCTTTTTAATATTTTTTTTTAATGTTTTTTGCAGTTGCCGGCCCCTTACTTTAGGGTAAAAATCACGCAAAATGTGGAAATAAGAAGTGCGAGCCCAAATTTAAATTGATGCAATGCACAAGCCGTGGTCCTCTTGTTTTGCCGGGATAATTCGCTCCCTCCGTGCTAATTTCTGGGTCAGTGTAGTAGGCAAACAGCGCAAGTCCTTTCAACGAAGTAAAGAAGGTAATAATAATGGGAATATGAGAGCAAAATGAGAAAATGAGTAAGTGGTCAAACTGCCACAGTGATGCAGCCGAAGTTTGTCTGAAGGTGGTCAACTTTACCCACTGTTAAAACAGAAATACCGCTATTTTAAGACAGTTATTTAGCTGAGCTCACAGCGCGGTACGTATTAAGCACATCTCTTATTTTTCTGACTTACGGAAAGTAGTACTTAATTTTCTTCTGGTACATCAGTGATATTTCCCTCGCCTGCCGCCTGATTGTACTTATCGAGGTTGCGCTCCGCAGTTTTACTTTTTTATTAGGCCTAGACATGTTTTTATTCCTGAGATCCAAGAACAGTGCGGATAATTAAACTAGCTTTCAGAGACGGCATCGTTCGGTATTAGAACATCTATGTTTCGCAGCGTCAAGGGGTCACATTCACGACCCGGCAGTGTAAACATCCACAACGCCTTTATCGTGTTAAAAAAAAATGTTTTTATATTTGTTTTTTTGTTTTTGGTGCGGTATGTCGTATATAACATAAGCTACCGGGGGACAGATCGTCTGGCTATGTCAAAATTTGAAATATTTCTGTTAGATGATCGTAACTACCACAGAGAACAGCCGATTCTTGACTGAAATAGCATATTTTCACACTCAATTAAAATCACCAATAACACGATCTCAGGAGAGTTGTGTACCTCTCGTAGCGTCATAAGCAATACACACATCTCTTTCTTGTCCAGATTCTGCAATGCAATGCAAATTATAGTTTTTGTAACTCAAAGCGCGTGCTCAATCATGCCACGTGTTTGTTAATTGTGGTTGTTGCTCTTCATTCGGATTCTCCGCTATACCGTTTTTATTTTAATTTTCTTATCAGAGCCAAATACGTGCGTATACCACCGACCTTAAGTATAGTGCATCAAATTAAACTAGCTTCCTGAAAAGGTATCGTTCGGCGTTGTGTAATTTATTCTTCATGGCGTCGGTGGTCAGATTCTCGAATCCTGAACTGCAAATGTTCCTCGCCGCATTGTTTTTTTCTCGCGTTCTCGCAATAAAACACGTCAGCCTTGCCATGCTGGGATCAAATACACCAGCGTCGGCAGTTATTTGCGAAGGATTGATCTATGCGAATATTTCCACTCGCTATTCATGAATTGCCACAGTTCGTCAGAATCTGAACGACTTGACTGCATAGTAAAAACGGCAAAAAAAAAAAAGATAAAACGATGTCGGTTAGTAAACGGAACTTCCATGGCGGGGCTCGCCAGCCTAAACAGCAAAGCGCCGATGCCGGCCAGTCGCTGAACTTCCGTGTAAATACTGGCCATCAGAGACAGCAAAGTGCCGATGCCGGCCAGTTACTGAACTTCCATGTAAATACTGGCCATCAAAGACAGCAAAATACCAATGCCGGCCAGTTACTGGAACCTCCATGGAAAGACTGGCCAGCAAAGACAGCAAAAACCCGATGCCGGCCAGTCACTGTAACTTCTTCGGCTGAACTGGCCAGTGAGCAAGACGAAACCCCGACGCCGGCCGGGGCCGGTAGCTCACCGGCGCCAATGGCCGGGCGCCGCCATCCTGTTACCAGGACCGGCCGGCGTAGTCCCGATACCGGCCGACGCGGTGTGCTACCTGGGGTTACTGCGCTTGGCTTTCGTGCGGAAGCTACGGGTTCGGTTCCTTTGAGCGGCTCGTCTGTGTTTTATTCTTTCAATTTAGCGCTATCATAAGTTAGACAACCATTGTAGTCTTATCGAGAAATGATTGCTCTGCGCACCCAACGTTCTACGTCGAATATCGCAGAAATCCACGTGGGCACCATGACTGGGACTCCGCATTGCGATCCGGAGTCAGTGTCGCCCCAGCGTTCGACCCTGCTGTTTCGCCGCCATCGACGCCTGAGACGCTAGGCTTTTTTCTAGTTCGTGTTCGGGCACAAGTTTGCCCCGTTAAACGTTTAGTTTCTCAGTTAATTTGCTACCTCATCATTCCTCATTTGTGACAATAGGACAATTTTTTTATGGTCTGAAGCCTGAATTACAAACACTGTTGTCGGTTGTACATCCGTTGAATACGCAAACAAAAAGGTTCCGCAATAGGAGTAACACTGTTAACGCAATAGGTTATTTTTCTGTGAAAAAATGAAGTCGTTTATAATAATAAAATAATTTATCGAAATTTACTTTTAGAACAAGCATTTTATTTAATTAGAAGTTCGGACCATCCTAGCAAAATGTGTCCCTACTTCTGTCACAGGTGTTTGCTTGTTCTTCTTTCCGGAACGTGCTAAATACTAGTTACAGGTTTCCTAACGACGCAGCCCTGAGAACATTTCAAAATAGCTCTTAATAGATAGTTTTTCTAAGTTGTGTTCGAGAGGTAGTCTTCGATAGTACGTTCGTGCTTCTAGATGGTGAATTTTACAGTACAGTTTCTAATAAGTACAGTGCTTCAAATTATTGTTACTCTATCGATACTGCCAATCATATTCCATAACTGAAAAGCCTTTCCACGCCGGTTGTACTTGATCAATAATTATTCTTATAGTCAAATCTCTTAAACGCTTTACGTGGTAAATCTTACAGCTGCAGTATCGGCCCATGACTACGCAACTTTATTCCCAAATAAACAGCAAGAACCTCGTGCTTGCTCGAAATTCTTCTTACCACAATGTATTTCTAAAAATATCAGTATATTTAGTGTCTTCATATATTACTTAGTAGATATCGACTCCCATCATCGTGTTTCATAACCAGCTAACGCAGTGGCTTCTCAAGAAGAACATGTTTGTCTGGTACGCAACTCGTACACTCCAAGGGTGAGTTGCATTTATTGTCCGACAATTCTGAATAGGTATGGTATGAAAATGCTTATATCAGCAGTAGGGGAGGAAATTCCTAGTAGACTACGCTGCCCACTGGACGGTGTACGAAGTGTCCGCCTCGGCTCTGGTGCACGGAACTGTGAGAGCCAGTCACCACTGGAGCGTGGTGCACCTCGGCCTGGTGGTAGGTGCTGCGGATAGAAATACATTTACGTATGTAAGTCTTACGAAGAAATCAGTCGTCTATGAGAATAAAAAACAATCTCATCTCATGTGCTATTATGTCCGACATCTAGAATGAGGTTGGCTTTATATTATTGGAACAGTAATCTTAATTATGCTGTAACAATATCATTATATTAATAACTCTATTTCGGTAATACCTGTCTTTCGTTTCGGTATGACATGTTCGATTAGGAGCTCAAAGAGGCACCTGATGCAGCTTTGAACCGACTTAGGTTTGTACAAAGCCGGTCGTCTGTTGGCTGCTAAGTAACTTTGCAAGATAATAAAAGGACGTAATTTAAACACTGCTCTAGTGCTGTAATAATTTCACCAATACAAATTTAACGGCAGGTCATAAAGTTATTTTATATTAAGGTCTATCTTTATTGAACTATTAACTAATTATCCCAAAAGCACTTAATCTGATGCAATCCCTGTTTTTCAAGGAAGCAAAGAAAACGCACCCGAAGAAGGGATCGTGCTTGGTGACGGTGGTCTTAGGGTGGACGAGCTTCTGCTGGCTGATGGTGTAACCGTGGGCGTGAGGTGGCACGTAGGCCACCTCGCTGTGGTGCTCCACCACCGGCTGACGCACCACGGTGGTGGCCACGGGGACGTGGACGGCGGCGGCGTGGTAGGCATAGGGTGCCACGTAGCCGGCCTGGCAGCACGCGGCCAGCAGGACTAGGCAGGGCACAAAGGCGGCCTGCAAGGACAGGACGAAACATGATTATGTATGAAGCTAGAGAAAGAAATCCATGGAGGCCATACTTGAGCGCAGTATTCCGAGCGCCCGTCCAAACCTAACTCCAGCGTGCTATATGTTACGAACGTGCGGAGTAGACAAAAGCGCTCAGCACACGCGTAGAATAAAAATGCTTACCTATTGCTGCGAGTTAATAACGTCAATCCATCAGAGGTTACCAACACTGACTTGCGATTAGGCGATGACACTGTATATATGATGAGGAACATGCAACGCACTAATTCTGGCTAACATTTTTTTTTTAAAGTTGCGTTTGATAATATTTATGCTAATGTTCAGAGTTCTGAGATGTAATAACCGAACTCTAGCTGAAAACAACTAGAATAACGGGCAGCGAACAGCAGTACAGCTTCTCTTCGAAGTTGGCCTCACAGACATGCCTCAAGATTATTCGTATAAATAGGCAAGCAAAAATAAAACAGAACGCTCGCATTTCTAAGCAAATTTACGGTTTCAATTAACTGATTTTTTTTCGTTACACATAAAATTTATCTTTCAGCTCTAATCAGGGTGTTCGTTGGCTGCATATGCTTTTAAAACCCCAAAAATCGCAGCACACAAGCTGCGTACTCACGAAGGAGTTCATGCTGTGGGTGGGCGGAGATGCTTCGAGTGACTCTCTCGAGTAAAGATTGTGATACGTCCTGGGAACGGGAGTCCTTTTATTTGTGTCAGATCGGAATAACTGAAACCTGTTGTAAACACGTGTGGTCGCAGGTCTTAATGTGTCCAGCACACATTCCTGCCCCGACACCCCAGAGTCCACTCATCGTGTTTCCCGGCGATGGCCTTGAAAGCTGTCAGCAGCCGGAGCGGAGTTTACCGGTAGCAGTTAGACTGCCTGACTACCGGCATCTCATCAGGTTGCCGAACACGGAACTCGCTTCGCGTGAGACGACTCCAAGCCGCGGCGGCTGTGCCTTTAACGATACGACCTGTCTTTTTTGTGCACTGCTTTCTTTTGTTTAGGGCAAATGCCTTCGTTCTGTAGCGGTTCAAGCTTGTTTGTAATTAAACTAACTTCATTGAATCAATGGCGCAAGTCACTATTTCAAAAAAGATGTTAGATATGGTCCTGTACCTATTTCATCACATAATCGCTAAATTTCTGTACAATATTTTCATAAACAAGCGCGTTTGCTAGCGAGTTTTTACATTCAACAAGTCTTCTTTAATTATTTTGTATTTCAAAAAAGCATTCAACTGAAGAATTGTTGTTGTCCGTCTCCTTTTATTTGTTTCCTTCCGTATGGTAAATATTGTTTTCAACACGCCTGTTTTGCACATAGCTGAAGCTCTATATGTATAGTTTTGATTGAATTGGAAACTTAACGCTGATATTGAGTACAAGTACTTGTGGGCATTTTCTCGGAAGGTGCTTTTCTTTCTCTAAGTTTTCAATATGTTGTTCCAAATAGGACCAGCCTGCAGAATTTCTATTTGTTATTTGTGGGATGCACATCAGAAGGGTTATATTTTAATAGGTAATAAATGGTAGAAAAATAATATGGCTCCAGAGCATCCAGAAGACTCGTGTGTTATTCACATGCGTGACATAGAATGCCACATTGTCGAGTTTTGTCCCGCGCGTATTTCGCTACGTAAATAGATATTTCTTAAAACAACAACCACAGATAGCTCAAATTCGGTTTACCTGAAGCTAATAAAGCATACATACCAATAAAATTAAAACTTACCATTTCAGAATAGTGACTGCTAACTGGGGTGCACGTCTCGAAGCGAAACCTCACGCAGAGTTTTGCGCTACTTTGCGAGGATTACATTAAACACGCCAACCTCAACTCTGCATTGCTTTTCTCCGGAAAATTTTTTCTATAGCTCTTAATATTTACGGATGCAAAGTGTACGGGCCGCGGCCCCTGAATGAGAAGTTTGAACACACTATGATTGCTTCTCCATGAGATGCATAGCGCTAAACCCAAATTGTCGCATTTTTCACCGCGTCTAAATTTATCCCGCCGTTACCTAAATTCGGCATTCTCGAGCTCTGAACCTTCGTTATAAAAACATCCGAGGGCGACAAGGCAAGCGGACAGAGTGGAGCCTTTCCCAGATTCCAAATGTTGGTGTTCGGGGCGAAGGCGCGGCTGACGTAATCACCCTGCCGGCAAAGCTTCGACAAAGATTAAATCCTGTCAGCACCTTTCCGCCCCCAGCCTAGCCAAGCAGATTAGTCGCCTCATTAGGGCAGGATACCCGAGAGACCTGATTGAAACAACAATCAAAAGACTTGTCGTGGGGCAGAAGTCCAAACCCCTCCCTCCTAAGTCACGCTTCGCATGCATCCCCTTCATATACAACACCTCACATCGCCTAAAATCTATTGCGCTCGTCTTCAACACCAACGTTGTATTTTAATGCAAGTTCAAATTAGCTTCTATTTGTAGAAAGGTCAACAACCCCTGTCCAGCGCCCCCGTGCCAGAAAAAGCACCAGACCAATTATGTAACCTGCTGCAAAGACTGCGTGTATTCGATTCCCATGTCCTGCGGTGCTAAATACATCGGACCTACGGGCCGATGCTAAACGATCGGGTGAGGGAACATGCAAACGAGATCAAGAAAGCCGCTTCCAACACTTCGGAGATTAGTTACCACCCGGCTGCCAAAACACACCTCTGAGTGCAGCGAACCCTGTTCGGCCGACCTTCCCCTTCTATGTATCTTCCTCATGTCTAATCACCCTCCGTGCTTTCGGAATGATGCAGATGATGCAACCCGTAGTCGCTTTTGCCATGGGCAGTCTGATGCGAGGGGCCGACGTTCTTGCCGCTCGCACCGAAACACAACACCGACACACAATGTACGCGTACGGTCGTGTCCCTTCTTACGAGACCTGGCGGTCCCTGATCGTCTGGAGTAATTCGGAAGAAGTTCTTTTTGGCATTGTAAACTTCATCGAAGGCAACGAAGGGCTTGATACACGCTCCAGTTGTGACCGGTTCCCACAGTTTTGTGCATCAGGGCCGAGGTGGACACTTCGTGCACCGCACTGTCGGCACCGTCTTCTACTAGAAACCCTTCACTTTCAGAAACACCCCCTTCATTCCACACCCTTCATTCCAGACTGAGACTATTTGAAGCACAATAAATGCAACTAACTCTTGCGGTGCAGGAGTGACGTATTTCTGATACGTATGGCTGATCATGTTCTACTTGAGAAGCTGCAGCAACAGTCGGTTGTTGATCAAGATAATGAACTTCGGCTGCTGACTCACTAAAATAAACGCACTGAAGTGTGACATATCTTTTAGGAAATGCGGAGAAGTAAGGCACAGTGATAACAAAGCTTGATGTTAAAGGTTTCACAAAAAAAAAAATGAATCGAGAGGTGGTGATTTGCCCACGGGTGGTGTATTTTTTCTATAAAATTTGCCAAGGGCGAACTTACCCGAAGAAAAAGTAAAAAAGAAAAAGGCTTAACTCCTATGGAACGCAGCGAAGTCACCGGTTTTCAAACTATAGGGCGCCCTATTGATTGAAGACCGGTGGTTTTGCTGGGTTTCCATAGGAGTTAAGCCTTTTTCTTTCTTTACTTTTTTTATCAAGATAGCTCTTTGCAAATTTTATCGAAAAAATACACCACCTGTGGGCAACGCTGCTCGAAATTGTTGCGCGATTGGTTAAGAAACCGCATTTCGCGGTTGCTTAAGCAGCCTGGCCGCTATTTGAGGCACCCCATAGTATCAAACGACTGTTTTTCTGCTAAACATCTCGAGTGTAAAAAACAGTATCTCTAAAATACCTAAACAAACAAAGTTTTTATCAGACAACTGCAATTTTCAAGACTAACTACGAAACGCATCTGCAGTATAGGAAGCGCCGTCTTTCTAACACAAATTAAAAAGCTATGGATTAAACGCAGTTTTTCAGGTTCAATATATCCTTAAGCAAGCGATTTCTTTTTCCATTAAAAAAAAACAAACACAGTTTATTTAAATAAACACTTTAGGACTTCGCTTGAACTGCCTGCTCTTCCTCATATACAAAGCACTTTGTTATAAACAGTATCTGAAAATATGAGCCTCGACCTTGTTTCATTATCTGTGTGTAACTCTCATTATTAGACCTCTTTCGTGCTGACGACATTCTGTCGGAACTCGTAATCGAAATATTTGTCGTGCGCAATACATACAATAAATGTGTGTTGAACTTTTCGAAGATATATTAAAGGTACAAAGTGCTTTAGTGTTTGTTTTTGTTTGTTTGCTTCGCGGATGTCATCCGCGGAGGGAGAAGAGAAAAAGGTATTATGCACGACAGCACCTCTGGCCCGTTCAGTGTAACAGCGGAAACATAATGACGTAGCAGAGGTTATTACAAACAAAAATAAAACAATTATAAAACTACGAATCTCAAGTCAGTGGCATATCCCAAGAAGCACGCAATCAACACAAACTTCATCATTTCAATTATATCCAACCGTCAAAGCTCCAAGTGGCACAAAGCAAAAGAAATATCTCCATATACGTCCAACACAAATACATTTAAAAATATTAAACTATAAAACAAAATGAGGCAGACTAAAACAGGGTAAACAGGACTCCTCCTCTCAGGACGAAAAAGCATAAAAATATACGGAAACAGCTTCGATGGTTTGACTGCACCGAGTCCAGCAAAATTGAGAACACGATACAGCTGCACACCAATGTTCACCTGCAGTTTTTAATCTGAAAAACGAGGGGCTAGAATCAACATCAATATCGGGGCAATCTGGCATAGTGTAAATTGATCGTAGTATGTTCGAAAACTTGCTATTCTGCAGATAGGCTTGATGCGTTGGAAAAATATTTTATATAAAATGAGCCATGTCAAGATCCTTGAGATTGATCACTTAGACATGACCCTTCAACTTTTCGTTCCGATAGTAAGTTATCATGATTTTCTGATTTTAGGAAATCTAACATGTGTCCACTTATTAACATTAAAGTTCGCCTGTCCCTTTTCACAATATACAAAAATATTTTTATATAAATATAAAAAATGTTAATATTTTGGATTATGTAATCTATATTTAGAACAGTTATCTGAGAATAGTGTCTTATTTACCAGTAAAGAATTAGTGATAGTGTTTGTTATAAACAAAAGGAGTGAATAACTCAGAGTACAGCTCCAGATACGCGAAAAGTGACACTTAGATAATCAAACTACTTCAGAATTATTTCAACACAACGCCTTTAATTGTTTAAGTAGTTCATCGGATAAGCCAATATTTTGATGTCAAATAAGCGTGAGCTACTTTTATAAAACAAAAAGCCATGGTTCACAACATCATATGCTACCAGAATATCTAAAACCGACAGTCTCCATCGATTTTAATACCAAGAGCGCCGGTATAAAATTTAAAGAAAAGTCGACGGGAACACTCAGAAGACGCTCTAGAACAAAATTCGTGATGATTTCGAATAAGAAATCATTAAAATGTATGTGTGCTCTTGGTTTACTACTATAACATGCTATAACGGTAGAACTGGGACCAGAGGATATATAACAACAACGAGGAAGGTGTTGACGAGACAAGCGCTAGATTCGACTAAATATATTTATTAATTTATTTATTGAGGTTACCCGCATCGCCTTGGAGGCATTATCGCAGGGAGAGGTTTACAAAGAACATTTCAGCTGAAAACACAGATGGAAACACATTTCCATTAAGCATGTTCCATTCTAATGCAGTTCGAACAAAATATGATTTACAACAAGAGCTAAAGGTTGCAACTTTGTATTGGTGGTCCACTCTTTCCGACACGTAGAAAGGACATCGAATGTAATTTTCTTTACTGATGCAAGTTTTATCATTATAAAGACAGTAGAAAAATTTTAGTCTTAGATTTTTTCGTCTGTACGACAGCGATTACCAGTGTAACAGTGGCTTTATGGCCGTGACGCTCGCTTTGAACCTATAAATATTTGAGACAAATCTAGCGCCGCGATTTTGCACTTGTTCTAATTTATCTGATAGACGTTTAGTCTGGGGGTCCCAAACTATGCATGCATATTCCAGAACTGAACGTACAAAAGAGAAATATAAAGTTTCCTTCAATTCCTTCGGGCAATGGCAAAAATTGCGACGTAGAAATCCTAACATGCTGTTCGCCTTATTAGTAATGA